AATCACTAATCACGCAATATTATCTTGATCAAAGAGGCAGATAGGTGGAGATTCAACTTGAAACCAGGTAATAATACAATTATCCTTAGACGAATAAACTAGTAGCTATGTGGCGGGCTATAGTAAAGCGAGTACAATGGACTAGCTCTTTGTCTCTCTCTCTCTCTCTCGACACTTAACAAAACAGCAATGAAACGAGTCACTTGAGAGAGATAGAGAGGAGAGGAGAGAGGACGGTGTGTTGAGAGGCCTGGAAAATATAAAATACCAAATGCTACCAAATACCGAATCGTAGACAAAATTTGTCCAATTACAAGTAACCAGGCTCAAATAAATATAAATTTTAGGTGAAAAAACGGAACAGTGGGAGTTCCTGCCTGATGGGATAAAAAGATACGAGAGGGGTGTTATTTGTAAATTTAACCGATTACTATTTCTCAACTGCCAGACTGGGAAAGACTCCCTTGGTACCAACACCATTCAATGAGGAAGATAAACGCCCATCAGGAAAAACCAGATCACGACATCAGAATTAGGAAATCACAATCAAAAATTTAAAGGTAAGAAAATAATCCGCGTTAGAGCAAATTGGGTTCATTTACCTATCTGGTAATTTTAAGTTTACTTTTGGAAAAGCTGATTATGCAACAATTTGTGGTGTAGATGCTTTTCTACAAGTGAATATCTTTTTTCCTGCAAAAAATCGCAATTAGCATATGGTCGCATTACATTTTAGTCGTAACCAATATCGATTTGTGCCAAACAAATGAGAGTCACTGTCCTCCCTCTCTCTCTTTTTGATCTTTGACTCCCAATTTTGGATGCTCTTCAAAGACCCTTCAAACGCCTTTTTTCTCCATACTATTCATATCTTTTTCAACGGAATCAGTAAAGACAGACACCCTTTGGTAGTCATGGCTTTAGTAATAGCTTTGTGATCAAACTCTCTTGATGCTGAATATGTACCAAACGACACTAATTCAAGTAAGTTATCATTCAGAGATACACAGTTAGCTATGCAATCTTAGTTACCTCCCACTATAACTGACCTAAATAAATTGACTCAAATAGGCTTAGCACCATGTGAATTAGTAGGCGTGCATAAACAAATCCTAATAACGTTTATTCCTCACTTATGAAATTCAAGCAGGTTGAGTACATACGCATTCAGGCCTCAAAGGCAAAACATTAAAACTATTTAACATACATATTAAGGATTTTCTCTCTTGACTAGGCCAATTTATGCATAGCCTTCGCACGACATGAAGTCAGTAAGATTAATCACAGCACATGCAAAGAGAACTATGACAAGTGTGAAAATAAAAGCACAGAGCAAATACTCGGGATCCACAGCACTCCATCTACCTCCTCCTCATTAGACGCGGTTAGTGTGTAGACATGACCGAATGGACAATTAATTAGCTGCGCGGTTCAGAGGTAATTCATAGGCGGCAACAAAATTAATTTAATCATCTCGCCTCAGCAAACTTCAAAACGGAGAAAGGAGTAGGTGGCGTCCCAACCCCCATCCCCACCCCCCCCC